TCTCAATCTCCTGACCTTGTGATCCACCCACCTTGGCCTCCCAAAGTGCTGGGATGGCAGGTGTTAGCCAAAGGTCCTATCTTGATCTCACTGGCAGGGTGAAGCCACAGGGCTGTTCAGGACTGGTATCCTTGGTACACGAACACAGACTAGATTTCCCAGCCATGGCCACTGGTGCCTCACTGGGCTCCACCCCAGCGGCCGGACAGCGCCCCACCCCAGCGGCCGGACAGTGCCAGCCAAAGTTCTCAACTCTCTTCCTCACCGGATGCTGCCACCCCCTGGGTGTGCTCTGGTCTCTGCACCTGCCTAGCCCGCTGCCTGGAGGACCTCTCGCCAGTGTTCCATCTCAGCCATCTCAGCCACTTCCTAGGGCAGCCTCTGCTGTCACCCCAGCTGGGGAGCACCCCTCAGGGATGCTCAGCTGTGGGATCACCAGCTCCAGGAAGGTAGGGACCTGGACTGCTCGTTCTGTTCCCCTGTGTTCCCAGCCCCAGGCACACAGTAGGTGCTCATTCATTGCACAGCTACTGAGAGTGTGAATGGTGACTGAGGTAAAGGGTTAAATGCACCCAAAGTTACTGTGAATTCAGCAGCTAAAGATCCAATGTGGGTCAGCTATCCCCAAACATAATTTCAGAAAAGGGCCCCAGCCGGGCACGGTGGCTCACACCTGTAATCCCAGCACTTTGAGAGGGCAGGTGGATCAACTGAGGCCAGGGGTTTGAGGCCATCCTGGCCAAAATGGTGAAACCACGTCTCTATGAAAAATACAAAAATTAACCAGGCATGGTGGCACATGCCTGTAATCCCAGCTACTAGGGTGGCTGAGGCAGGAGAATCGCTTAAAACTGGCAGGCAGAGGTTGCAGTGAGCCGAGATCATGCCACTACACTCCAGCCTGAGTGACAGAGCGAGGGCCCCCCATCTCCCAATAGAGAGTCAAGCTGGTGAAGTGCTTGGACCTGCTGGTGAATACCATGTCTCCACCCACAGCCTGTGACCCGCAGGTTCCTCCTCTAGGGCACCTGTGAATCGGAGGCGGTGGTGGCGAGAAGGACACCAGCCAGGGTGCTTGGAGTGGCCAGCACGGGACTGCTAAGGCGGGCGGATCACCTGAGGTCAGGAGTTCGAGACCAGCCTGGCCAACACGGTGAAACCTCGTCTCCACTAAAAACACAAAAATCAGCTGGGTGTGGTGGTGCACTTTGGGAGCAGGCTCCAAGGTACAGCCCAGACAGTGGGGAGGGGAGCAGAGCGGTCGTACCGGGTTCTCCGTCTGGTTGATCCCCATCACGAACACCAGCTGAGAGAGGAAAAGTGCAGCGGCCAGGTGCTTGTGAATGCTGTGCAGGTTGGAGCACAGCGTGCGGACCAGGCTCAGGAGGACGAAGGCCACCAGCAGGGCTGCCAGCGACAAGGACACGGCGGCGTAGGTGACGATCTTCAGCGGCAGGACCTCCCCATTCTGTGGGTGGGAAGGTTGAAAGGCAGGAGAGAAGGTAAGGGCCGAGGCTCAGATCCGGTCATTGCGTAATAGAGACAAATGACACACTTGCTTATTAAATGATCAAAGGCTGGCAGGAACCAGCGTGACCGTCACGTTGTTCTCAGGGCGGCATAAAACAAGCACAAAGCAGAGATGAACAGTGTGGGGTGACAAGTTCTGGAGGCGGACGGTGGTGACGGCGGCACAGCGACAGGAAAGTACTCAGTGCCGCTGGCCGTACGTTTCGATGGGAAATTGTGTGTTATGCAGGTTTTGCCACATTAAAAACCAACAAAACCGGCTGGGCACAGTGGCACATGCCTGTAATCCCAGCACTTTGGGAGTCTGAGGTTGGGGGGGTTCGCCTAAGGTCAGGAGTTCGAGACCAGCCTGGCCAAGGTGGTGAAACCCCGTCTCCACTAAAAATAAAAATACAAAAATTAGCTGGGTGTGATGGCAGGTGCCTGTAATCCCAGCCACCCAAGAGGCTGAGGCAGGAGAATCCCTTGAATCCAGGAAGCAGAGAGGTTGCCATGAGCCAAGATGGCGCCACTACACTCCAGTCTGGGCAACAGAACGAGGCTCCGTCGCAAAACAACAACAACTAAAAACCCCACAGGCAATTCCTACAAAAGGTAAACGTGTCTCCTCCACAGGTGCATGCAACACCTCTTGGACTTCCTCGTAATTCTATCATGGACTTACTCTCACTTTACAAAGAAAATGAGTAATTGTGGTAATACAACATGAATGTGATTTCCTTTGTTCAGCGAAACCTTTTACGGAGCGCTTAGTAGGCGGCAGGGGTTCTGACACACCTGACAAGAGCACTGTTCCACGTCATCCTTCTATCACAGCTCTGAGGAGGGCGCGGATGTGGCCCTCGCCTTCCTTCCAGGTGAGAAAACCAATGCTTAAAGAAGCTAAACAGGCTGGGTGCAGTGGCTCACACCTGTAATCCCAGCGCTTTGGGAGGTCAAAGCTGGCGGATCACCTGAGGTCGGGAGTTCGAGACCAGCCTGACCAACATGGAGAAACCCTGTCTCTACTAAAAATACAAAATTAGCCAGACGTGGTGGTGGACGCTTATGATCCCAGCTACTTGGGAGGCTGAGGCAGGAGAATTGCCTGAACCTGGGAGGGGGACGTTGCAGTGAGCTGAGATCACACCACTGCACTCCAGCCTGGGCAACAAGAGCAAAACTCCATCACAAAAAGAGAAAAAATGCTAAACAACTCGCTGAGCAGGGCGGAGCTTCAGGTTTCAGTTATGTGGACTGGCAGGCTCGATGCTTCAACCGCCATGGCGATGGGCATCTGTACCCTCCCCATCCATCCTGTGGTTCCTGCGTAACCCTTACTGACGCGTTCTACCATTACCACCAGCACACGGGTGTTCTGTGCCAGCTCCACGTCTCTATCATAGCTCGTTATTTGAACTTACTTTTCAAATTTCCAGATCTCTTATTATCCTTTTTTTTTTTGTTTTGTTTTAGACCGGGTCTGGCTCTGTTGCCCGGGCTGGAGCACAGTGGCGCGATCTCAGCTCACTGCAGCCTCCGCCTCCCGGGTTCAAGCCATCCTCCTGCCTCAGCCTGCCAACTAGCTGCGACTACAGGCACGCACCACCATGCCTGGCTAAATTTTGTATTTTTGGTAGAGCCAGGGTTTCACCATGTTGCCCAGGCTGGCCTTAAACTTGTGAGCTCAAGGGATCTGCCTGCCTCAGCCTCCCAAAGTGCTGGGATCACAGCTTCGAGCCACCACACCCAAGCTTATTATGCATTTCTTACGGGCACTGAATATGTCTTTATAAAAAAGGCCGGGCGTGGTGGCTCACGCCTGTAATCCCAGCACTTTCAGAGGCCTAGGTAGGTGGATCACCTGAGGTCAGGAGTTCAAGACCAGCCTGGCTAACACGGTGAAACCCAATCTCCACTAAAAATACAACAATTAGCCGGGTATGGTGGTGGGAGCCTGTAGTCCCAGCTACTTTGGAGGCTACGGCAGGAGAATCACTCGAATCCAGGAGGTGGAGGTTGCAGTGAGCTGAGGTTGCACCACTGCACTCCAGCCTGGGCGACAAAAGCAAAATTCCGTCTCAAAAAAAAAAAAAAGAAAGAAAAATTGTGCTAAAGTATACATGACATAAAACATACCCTCTTGGGCACTTTGAAGTGTGCAGGGCAGCAGAGTGTATGTTCACATTGCTGTGTTTTCTGTGCTTTTACAAACCAGGACACCTGTCCAGGACCCAGGCCCCTGGCGAGTTTCTGCATTTACAAGCTCTGGTTCTCTGGTATCTTCTGGAAGGAGCTGCTTACCACATGGGACTGAGCCGGGAAGCCAAGATCAGGCTGGGCCGGCGAGGCTGAGTGCTCATGGCCCTGGGCCTGGAACTGCCCCTCCTGAGGCTCCTTCAACGCTCTGGGCCCTGGGTGTCCCTGGGGCCTGCAGCAACACTCCAGGCTCCCTCCACTGGCCTGGGGGCTTCAGAGACTCTGGCTTTGGGGCACCCACTCCAGCCTCCTTTCTTCTGCCTCAATTTCAGCTTCCTTGGCCCACGTGTTGCCTGGCATCCTGGCCATGAGACCACCTCCAACCCCGCCCTTCTATGAACCAAGTCCACTAACCACTGACCTCTCTCCAGGCTGGGTCCTGCTGGGGAGTGCCTTCTGCCCGTGACACTGGGGCTCAGGCAGGGCAGCTTCCCATGGACATTGCACAGAAAGCCGCAGCCGCCCTCCAGCCCTGCCTCAGGGCTGACTCACCCTTCCAAGAATGCGACAGAAACCAGGGCCACTTCACATCAGAAAGCCCTCGGGAAGGACGGTGGTCTGGACGCCTGAGCCACAGCGCAGCCCCCTGGGGAGGGTCCAGAGGAGGCCACCCAGGCCTCTGGTTCTGCCTCCTCGACCCTGGGTCCCACACAGGCCTCCCCAGGCTGGCTCCTACCCCGTTCCTGTCTGAGTAACGGGAGGCCAGGCCAGTGCTCAGGCCACTCCCCAATTCATCCGCAGGCCCACAATGGCCGGCTCACATTCCCAGGCCGATTAAAATGCCAGGGGTTAAACATTAGCCGCCCAGCCTTTTGTCCTGCGGCCCTGCATGTGGCCCCGAGGGAGAGCGCCCACTGTGCCCAGCAGCTGTCACCTCCCTTACAATCAAAGCGGGTGGACAGCGGCACCTTCCAGCAGACCCGCTCTGAAGCGAGGGGCGGATGGATCCTGGGAGCTCCTTGGAGGCTGGGCTTTGGGTCTGTCATCCCGGGGTTTAATGTACAAGCAGGGCTCCCGAAAACCCTTGTCACGGGGCTTTGTTATGGAAATCCTCACGGACTCTGGCCAATCCTGGAATGTTTTTTAACTGGTTGATGTGCTTTGTTCAAAGCACTTGCAGTGGAAGATTTCGTTTGAGGAGGGGGCAGGCTCGGGGGTAGGCTTGGCGGGCACAGCGGCCGCAGGAGGATGCCCACCTCACGCCTGGAGATGTCCATGAGCACCGCGAAGCTGGCCGTGTGGCTGCACTGGCATGCGACGTGCGTCCGGTTTCTGGACAAGAGCTCACACCCCCGGGCAGACCACCCTCCCGTCCCACTGACGCTGCGAAGAGAAGAGAGAGGGGCGGGGGTGAGATGGTTCCCTCCGCCGTGAGTCTGTCGGGGGCAGGATTTGCCCAGCCCTGGGGGTTCACGGGCCATCCTGGCCAAACCAAACAGCAGGCACCGTGAATGATGAAAGCCCCACTCCTCGCAGGCTGCTCCCCACCATGTTCCTCACCAGCCCCCTGCACTGAAGACAAGAGACACCTGTGGCCAGGTGTGGTGGCCCATGCCTGTAATCCCAGCACTTTGGGAGGCCAAGGTGGGTGGATCATGAGGTCAGGAGTTCAAGACCAATCTGGCCAACATAGTGAAACCCCATGTCTACTAAAAATACAAAAAATTAGCTGGGTGTGGTAGTGTGCACTGGTAATCCCAGCTACTCGGGAGGCTGAGGCAGGAGAATCGTGTGAACGCAGGAGGCAGAGGTTGCAGTGAGCCGAGATCGCGCCATCGCACTCCAGCCTGGGTGGCAGTGCAAGACTGTCTCAAAAAAAAAAAAAAAGCCACCAATGAAGGCAGGACCATGGGAAGTCTCCCTTCCCTCTTGTGTCTCGTCAGGGCCTCCAAGGAGCAGCCTCTGAAGTTCAAGTTCTATGTGTCCTCGGGCAGCAAAACTCAAACGGGGCCGTCGTGCGTCCACCACACGCCCTGCCGCTGGAACTACGCACTGGGGTTCACGCAGCTGTCTCCCTCTGAGGATAGACGCTTTCACAAGAACATCTCACCTTCCCCTGACACTTTCATCTTGAGATTGCACAATGTTTTATGGGAGCTGCCCAGAAGCCAGGGCCCCATGGTGACTCCCGCTTTCCTGATGGGAAGCCCCAAATAACACGCTGTTATGAGGCGTGTGTCTCAGCTTCAGACAGGGCCCTGCCCTCCCAAACTCTGGGAAAATCACATCACCTCTCAGATCCTTAGTTTGCTCGCCTGTAAAATGGGACGTGAACGCTAATGTGTTTGCCATGAACTTTACAATCTGGGAATAATAGGTATGACATAAAGCAGAGAGCAGGTCGTTAGAGTCAGAGCTAATTGCCAGGATGCAGATGGATGCCCGGGACAGGCAGCTGGCCTGACGTCCCTCGTGGTGAAGGGTTCCTTTATTCACTCCTTTGTAAGCCAAGCGCCTATTACATTTTAGGTACTGTGCTGGTTGCTCATTAACTAGGACTTGGAAGGCACAGAAGCAGGAGAAGAAGGCTGGGCTGAACGAGCTCCTGGCATGGGCTTGCTCACCATGGCGCGGCCCCCGCACAGCCACCACTCATGGCTCTCCACTGTGCCCAGGGGAACCGTGGTGGGGGGAGGGGGAGTGTTCCCGCTGCACGGACGCCCCCAGATGTACAATGTCCAGCCAATTTGAGCCTGGGGGTGCTAACGCTCCGACTCCCCGAGTCCTGCACGGCATCTCCCCTTCCTGGCACTCCCTCCCGGTGTGCACACAGCAGGTCTACCCAGCAGATCACGCTCCCACCCGGTGTGTGCACACAGCAGGTCTCCCCACCAGATCACGCTCCCACCCTCCCACCACCCCTCAGTTCTAGTATCTTCTTCTAAACAGAGACAGTAAAAGTGAAAACGAACCAGCAGAGTAAAAGCAAGCTCCTGGTAAAGACCCAGCAACTCAAAGAAGTCCACACCTCACATAAACCCTGCAGCTAAAAAGGCAAAGCAAAGCACAGACACCACCGGCTCCCAGCGGAGCTGAGCCACGTGACTCTGAACCCAGTCTCATTCTGAATTTTTCTAACTACGAAACACCTTTCCCTCACTGGAACACACGCTGAAACACAGGCTCTGGCGCACCACCTCCCACCTTTGCCACTCCACCGGCTGGCTCTCTGATGCTGCTTCTGGCCTGTGCTGTGGCCAGATGTGGCCACTTGGGGGTAAAGCCAGTCCCCAAAGCTGGGCTTTGTCGGCCTCTTGGGCAAGACTAGGAGCAGGGGCCCTTGTCTGGTATGGGGACCCCCACACATAGCTAGAAGTTCCCACTGTCAGCAGAAGGGCTCCTGGGCCCAACCTCTGGGTCTGCCCTCCCATGCGTGACCAGCACAGGCCTCTGTCTTATCCAGCAGTGAACTGGCCAATACACTCGTGTGGCCGCTGCCTCTCGGGAGTCCTGCAGGTGAGGAGCGCCTTCCTGGGTGTCAGCCTTGAGGGATCTCTGTGCACCTGCATGTCTGGCTCTCCACATGTGGGTCTGCGTGCATCTGCGCGTGTGCCTCTGTGCGTGTGCATCTGTGTGTGGGCCTGCATGTGTGCGTGCATGTCTGCGTCTCCATGTGTGGGTCTGTGTACGTCTGTGGGTGAGCATCTGCATATGTGTGCATCTGTGGCTGTGCATCTGCGTGTGCATATCTGTGCATGTGCATCTATGGGTGTGCATCTGCGTGTGTGCATCTGTGCGTGTGCATCTGTGCGTGTGCATCTATGGGTGTGCAACTGTGTATGGGCCTGCATGTCTGCATCTGTAGGTGTGCATCTGCGTGTGTGCATCTGTGTGTGGGCCTGCATGTGTGCATGCATGTCTGCGTCTCCATGTATGGGTCTGTGTACGTCTGTGTGTGGGCATCTGGGAGGCTCTGATGCTCCCACAGAAGCAGAGCAGGAGGCTGACTACCCCACAAGGGGCTGGAAGGGGAGACACAGACCACAAGGGACCATCCTCGTGGGACACTCTGCCGCCGATCCCCTGACCCTGCGGTGCTCTCTGCCTTGGCAAAGCCCTCACATGGGGATGTGGGGCTCCCGGTGCCACACTTACGCCAGGGAGTGGTTCCAGAACACGCAGATGGGCTTGGTTCGCTCCTCCGTCTCCAGCAGGGCAAACTCCACCAGGACGGGCCTCTCCAGGGGTCTTGGGAGCAGAGCCCCCTCACTGTACACCAGCGTGCTCACCATCGGGGTATTAATGACGGGCCGGTGAGGCAGCCTGAGGTCAAGAAGCCAGAGCATGTGGACAAACATGATTAGGAAACGTTCACTCAAATCCCACACACAGATGTCCTGAGGACACGCCACGGATGTGTTTCTAGGGGAGACAGAATCACACTCAGAGAGCTCGGAGCTGCAGGCCCACAGTGTCTTCACCCCCAGTGAAGGTTTTATCACTGACACAGCACACAGGGAGATGTGTCATCTTTGGGTCAGAAATTCAAAAAGAAACAGAAGGCACAGGTGTGAAGATGTTACAGCCGTTAACAGTTAACGGCAGACAAAGGGGGTGCCTTAAATGTCCAAAGACACCAAAATAATGGCAGCTCCTGGGGGTGAATCACCCGGTCACTGAGAACCACATGATCACGAGGACCCCAGAGGCAGGGAAGTGTCTGGGAAATGGCAGGAGGAGGAAGGGCAGAGACTCGGGCCGCTCCCACCGAGGGGGCCACAAAGCTGCTTCCAGACATCCATCCTTTCCAGCCCGGACTGGCTGAGCAGCCCTAAAGCCCCGGGGCCAGCAGCAGGCACCACCCACGACAGCCTCAGGTCAGGGGTGTGGGGAGAGCATGGGGTCCCTCGGGGCAGAAGATGGGGCGTATCCTGAGGAGGGGGCATTTCTGGCGGAAGCACTGGGATAAGCCCAGGCAAAGGGTGTGCAGTGCTCCAGTGGATGGCATCCACTGGCAGACCCAGAACCTCCCTCCAAGGGACACCACAGGGCAGTGGTCTCTGTCTCTGGGCCAGGGTCCCGGTGAAATGCTGCTGTGAAGACCTGTGCTTGATCTAGATCAAAATTTTGACTTGTGGGAGCCTTGGGGACCTCTGAAACGGACCCTCCGCATGTCCCTGTGCCCAGGCCTTACCGAAGGCTCCGTCGGTCTGGGTCATAGCGCTCGGGCAGGAACTGCCCCAGGGTACGGTAAATGATGACCAGAATGACGGCGAACTGGCCAGCATCATCGGGGTGTCGCCTCCGCCTGCTGATCGGGGCCTCCCTCTCGGTGCTTGGCCCCGGGCGCGTGGTCTGCGTGGTGGTCCTCCGTCCGGCTGGCCTCCCCAGGGGGCCTTCTGCAACGTGAGCAGAGAGTGAGGACTCCGGCAGGAACACCTGCATTCTCCAAGACTGAGGTCAGGGCCAGCAGGTGCTTCTCAAAAACCAACAGATGTCCCACTGAAAACAGTATGCAGGTCCTCAAAAAATCAAAAATAGGATTTACCATATGGCCCAGCAAGCCCACTTCTGGCTCTACGCCCAAAAGATTGAACGCAGGGACCCCAGATACTTGCACACCCATGTTCACAACAGCACCATTCACACAGGCCAAAAGGTGGACGCGACTCAGGCATCCGTCAAGAGGTCAGAGGATAAACACACATGGTCCATCCACACAATGGAATATTACTCAGCCTTCAAAAGGAAGCAAAGTCTGACACTTACCACAACATGGGTGAACCCAGAGGACAATTACACTCAGTGAAATAAGCCAATCACAAAAGGACAAATGATTGCGTGATTCCACCTATAGGAGTTCCCTACAGGAGTCCAATTCAGAGAAAAAGTGCGGCGGGCACCAGGGCTGGGGAGGGGTGTCGGTGTTTTGTGGGCTAGAGTTTCAGATCTGCAGGATGAGAGTTCTGGAGATGGACTGCTTCAATGTGAATGTATCTGATGCAGTCTGGATGTCTGGCCCCTCCAAGTCTCACGTTGAAATGTGATCAGCGTTAGACCTGCACACGGTCGGGGGTGTTGGGGGTCACAGGGGTGGATCCCCCATGAATGGCTTGGTACCTCCCCTTGGTAATGAGCAAGTTCTCACTCTATTAGTTCCGGAGAGAGCTGGCTGCAGCGGAGGGCTAGTCAGTTTCAAACCCCAACCTCTCAGGTTCAGGCATGGCCCCATATCAAAGTCACCCCTCTTTTTAAGACACGAGATGTACCTGACAAAATCGCTTTAGTCACAAGGTTTCCAATTCTCAACCGTCCTTTATGGGGTTTACCTTTTCATGTCCTTTTTACTTTGGGAAGTTTTTAGTCATTGTCATGGATCTGTGAAAAAGCACCTTAGGAAAATTCAAAACGTTTATACCGTTTTGTATCACCATCCCAGCCCAGGACCGAAGATGTGTGCCGACACACATTCCGGCTTGGGTTTTGTTGTTGTTTTCAGGGAGGGGAAGGTGACTCTAAAATTTCTATTTCTATTTAAAAGCGGCCTTCCACCCCCACACAGTTCTCCCTCTGCTGTGCAGGCTGGGCTGCCGTGGCATGACCACAGCTCACCAGCCTCCATCTCCTGGGCTCAAGCAATCCTCCCGCCTCAGCCTCCCGAGTAGGTGGGACTACAGGTGTGTGCCACCATGCCCAGGTAATTTAAAAAAAAAAAGCTTTTTTGGTAGAAATGGGGTTTCCCTATGTTGCCCAGGTTGGTCTTGAATTTCTGGGCTCAAGCGGTCCTCCCCATGTCAGCCTCCCAAAGTGTTGGGGTTACAGGTGTGAGCCATCGCACCCAGCTAGAAGCAGCTTTTCACTGCACACCAAAGGCGACCAGTGTACACACAAATTTCAGTTCTCTTTTGCCACATTATCAATTACATGGCTGAGTATCCCTCAGCTGAAATGCTTAGGAACATTTTGGATTTTTGTTTTTGAGACAAAGTCTCGCCCTGTAGCCCAGGCTGCTGTATCTCAACTCTGCAGCCTCCGCCTCCTGGGCTCAAGCGATTCTCAGGCCTCCACCTCCTGAGTAGCCGGGATTACAGGTGCCTGCCACCACGGCTGGCTATTTTTTATATTTTTTGGTAGAGACAGGGTTTCACCACGTTGGCCAGGCTGGTCTCTAGCTCCCGACCTCAGGTGATCCGCCGCGCCCAGCCTGGATTTTAATTTTTTTTTTTTTAAGTATTGTTTCATACTTATGCTACAATGAGCACTTCCTTCCAGCGTCAGGTTGGTGCTCCAGAAGGTTCAGGTTCTGAAGCAGTTCAGATTTCAGGATTAGGATGCTCAACCGTACCTAAGCGCTTGTTCGAAAGAACTCGAGGTCACCAATAGGACCTGGCACCGGCGAACACTCGGGACACCCGGCCCCGGATCTTCAGGGCCCACAGAGCATGGCGTGTTCGCCCTCCTGGGATGCCGCGGGCGGCCCTCCCCTCCCTGAATGCTGGGGGCATGGAGGGCAGCAGCGGGTTTCTGAGAGCTTTTACCTTTCTCTTCAGGGGGTTTGAAGAAGTCAGCTGGGAAGGAGACGGAGGACTGCAGCTCCCTGGGGAACTCTTCCTGAATGGCGCTGAACCGTGGCACAGTGGCTCCCGTGAAGTTGAACTTGTCAAAGATGTCGACAGCAAGAACTAGGGGGACAGTTCCTTTAATCAGACATAACCCCCACGGCTGCCTTGAACCCTTGCTGGTTTCAAAATGACCACAGCTGTCACACTGACTGGCTGGCCTTATTTACTTATTTATTTATGTTTTTTATTATTAGTATATTTATTTATGTTTTTTATTATTAGTATTTTTTTGAGCTGGAGTTTCACACTGTCTCCCGGGCTGGAGTGCAGTGGCGTGATCTTGGCTAACTGCAACCTCTGCCTCCCAGCTTCAACCAATTCTCCCGTCTCAGCCTCCCGAGTAATGGGATTACATGTGTGTATCATCACGCCTGGCTAATTTTTTGTATTTTTGGTAGAGATGGCATTTCGCCATGTTGGCCAGGCTGGTCTCGAACTCCTGACCTCAAGTGATCCACCTGCCTCAGCCTCCCAAAGTTCTGGGATTACAGGCACGAGCCACCGTGCCCAGGCCATTTATTTGTATTTATTTTTTGAGACCAGGTCTCACTCTCTCACCCAGGATGGAGTGCAGTGGTGCAATCTCAGCTCACTGTAGCCTCAATCTCCTGGGCTCAAACAATCCTCCCACCTCAGCCTCCTGAGTAGCTGGGAATGCAGGAGCATGCCACCACACCTGGCTAATTTCTTCTTATTTTTTTTTAATAGAGAAGGTGGTCTCACTACAGTGCCCAGGCTGGTCTTGAACTCCTGGGCTCAAGCAATCTGCCCACCTTGGCCTCCCACACTGCTGGAATTACAGGTGTAAAGTACCATGCCTGGTTGACTGAACATCTTTAGAACAGAATCAATTTCCAACTTCCTGCGTCCCACATGTACCTACACTTGTTTGCAGTGAGCCTGGAGGGAGGCAGGACCCTTGACATCCACCCTTCTAGAGCCTCACACCTGAGGGTCTGGAAGACCTGCCTGCTGGACACCCAAGATCATGGCCCAACACCTCCCAAGCACGCGACCTGGCCCCTGGGAGCAATGGGTGTGTCACTGCAGACTGTCTTCCCAAAGACTCCATTTACAGATAAGGAAACAGAGGCCTAGCTGCTGAATTTTTTTTTTTTTTTTTTGAGACAGTCTTCTGTGACCCAGGCTGGAGTGTAGTTGCCCGATCTTGGCTCACTGCAACCTCTGCCTCCCAAGTTCAAGTGATTCTCCTCCCTCAGCCTCCAGCGTAGCTAGGACTACAGGCGCGCACCACCATGCCTGGTTACTTTTTCTATTTTTACTAGAGATGGGGCTTCACCATGTTGGCCAGGCTGGGTCATAGGATTTACCACATGACCCAGCAAGCCCACTTCTGGCTCTACACCCAAAAGACTGAAAGCAAGGACCCAGATATCTGCATACCCACATTCACAACAGCACCATTCACACGGGCCAAAAGGTGGACACGACCCAGGCATTCGTCAACGGATGAGCCGACTCCTGACTTCACACGATCTGCCTGTCTTGGCCTCCCAAAATACTGGGGTTACAGGCGTGAGACACCGCGCCCAACCCCTAAATCCTTTTCCTAAGAGCATGGTTAAGCATGGCAGGGAGCCCACCTGCTACACCCATGGGGGCCCAGCTCCTGGGCACACCCCGGACGGTCGCGGGGCTCCACCCCCCACTCAGCCAGCGCCTTACTCATGTTGGCGGTGACAATGACGAAGGGCCGCAGGTACGTCCGCCGCACATTGCGTGCCACGTTGCTGAAGTAGCCCTCGAGGTGCTGGAGCAGCTGTGCCGTGCCACCCTCGCTCCGCTGGATCTGCTCCCACGCCGCCCTGGTGGCCGGGGCCAGGAGGGCGCTGCCCGAGTGGATGACGTCCTGGTCAGACAGACAGACCGATCAGCGCTCCGCCAGCGGAGGGAGGCCTGGCTCTCGGGACCAAGGGACACCAGCCCTGAAAGCCTTTGCTCATCTAGTGGCTCATTCATTCATTCATTCCGGCCCCCGCACTTTAGACTGTGCGCTTAACATGAGTTTACAATGTTTTTTGTTTTGTTTTTGTTTTGAGATGGAGTCTCGCTCTGTCGCCCAGGCTGGAATGCAGTGGTGTGATCTCGGCTCACCACAACCTTCGCCTCCTGGGTTCAAGCGATTCTCCTGCCTCAGCCTCCTAAATATCTGGGATTACAGGCATGTACCACCACACTTGGCTAATTTTTGTATTTTTAGTAGAGACAGGCTTTCACCATGTTGACCAGGCTGGTCTCGAACTCTTGACCTCAAGTGATCCACCCGCTTCGGCCTCCCAAAGTGCTGAGATTATAGGCATGTGCCACCACACCCGGTTAATTTTGTATTTTTAGTAAAGACAGGGTTTCATCATGTTGACCGGGCTGGTCTTGAACTCCTGACCTCAGGTGCTCCACCCGCCTCGGCCTCCCAAAGGGCTGGGATTACAGGCGTGAGCCACTGAGCCTGGCCTAGTTTCCAATTTTTTTTTTTTTTTTTTTTAAGTTTACCATCTTAAGTGGAATAGAAAAATGTTACTAAGCTCACAAAGTATATAAAAATCCAGAGGATTCAAGATGCTTCATATTTTTAGCCTTATTAGATTTACAAGCACTGTTTAAATACTTGGAAGATCTGTTTGCTAGCCAAACAACTGAAATACAAAAAGAAAGATCAAATATCTGACATATAATTCCATTTAAAATACGTAAGGGAATTTCATGGCCTAAGTTTATAAATAGGATCAAACATTAATCAAAGTTGAATTCAAAGAGATAAGGAAGTCATTTCTTAATGTGTGATTTCCACACATCCCGAACCCCACCACATAAACTAGAGAGACTGTGGGTGACTCAGTGCCGGAGGCCCGAACTGTCAGAGTGAGCCCTGCCAGAGGTTTTTCCACGTATACCCCAAGATGCTAAGGTGAAAACGTGGAGGCGTCCCTGGTTTTATCAGAACTCCTCCCAAACCCCACACTGAGGCCACCACGGACATGCAGGCAGCTCCTCCAAGGGTGACCCTCTGCCTCTGTGCACCTCGGGGTCTCTGAATGACTAGGTGGAGGTGTGGGGCTACGCTCAGGGGTTTGGGGACCACACCCAAAGCAGACACCAGGGCTGGACACAGTGGCTTACACCTGTAATCCCAGCACTTTGGGAGGCTGAGGCAGGTGGATCACCTGAAGTCAGGAGTTCAAGACCAGCCTGGCCAACACAGTAAAAACCTGTCTCTACTAAAAATACAAAAAATTAGCCAGGCATGGTGGCAGATGCCTGTAATTCCAGCTATTTGGGAAGTGGAGGCAGGAGAATTGCTTGAACCCAGGAGGTAGAGGCTGCAGTGAGCTGAGATCTCGCCACTGCACTGCTGCAGCCTAGACAATAGAGCAAGGCCCCATCTCAAAAAAAAAAAAAAAAAAAGAAACCAGGAGGGACCTTGTTTGTAGAGTCACACATGGAGAACAAATGCCACTGGCCCAACTCTCAGGCTGGGACTCAAATCCCAGCGAGAGGACTCTGCCTTGTCTCTGAGAGCCTTGTGCAGACCAGAAGGTCTCATGGGGGCCCTGCATGGACTGGAGGCCCTGTGTGGGGCCTGCATGGATGAGGAGGTCCCTGAGGGCTCCATGTAGATGGGGTGAGGAACGGGGCATCCCCCATGGGCTCTGTGTGAACAGGCACTCCTCTGGCGGTCCTACATGGGTGAAGAGACCTGCCCAGGAGCCACAGGAAACTTCTGGAGCCTCCAAGAGCTGTTTCCAAACATCAGGCTGCGTGAGTCTCTTAACAGATATTGCTCAGGGGCTGACAGCTTTGGCACACAGGGCAGGAGGGTGGAGATAGAGGTGTGGCCCTCTGAAAGCCCACTGCCCGGCACTGCCCCTTACGAACTGTGCCTCTGGGCAAACCCCTCAGCTCTCTGTGCCTCCGTTACCTGCCAAATGGGTGGATGATACATCACAGGCTGTGTGGAAGGGAGGGGGCCGATTCAGGTGAGCCACTTAGAACCTTTGCTTTTGAGATGGAGTCTTGCTCTGTGACCCAGGCTGGAGTGCGGTAGCATGATCTCGGCTCACTGCAACCTCCACCTCCCAGGTTCAAGTGATTCTCCAGCCTCAGTTTCCAGAGAATAGCTGAGACTACAGGCACACCCCACCATGCCTGGCTAACTTTTGTAATTTTAGTAGAGACGGGGTTTTACCACATTGGCCAGGCTGGTCTCGAACTCCTGACCTCAGGCGATCCACCCGCCTCGGCCTCCCGAAGTGCTGGGATTACAGGCGGGAGCCCCGCACCCGTCCAGAACCTCTTAGAAGCCACTTAGATCACACTATGGGCACTACTGAGATCACCCACGGGGCTGTGACCTGCGTGTTTCCTCCCAGAGAACTCCCTAGCTTTCATCATCAGTTTAGCTGGGCGCCGCACCTGCCAGGGCTCACATTTGAGAAATGAGTGTTTGCCTCGGGGATTCCGGACACGACCACCTTCTACAAGCTGGGGTCGACGCCTGGCCCCACAGCGCCCGCCCGCCGGCATCGCTGAGTGTCCCTGAGCCAGGCCTGCGGCCACCCTCCTACCTCATGGAAGTCAGCATCCTGTGTGGCCGCCAGGTCGAAGCCCTGCTGCTGGCTCTCGTGCTGCAGGATGCGGCCCAGCAGCTGGTAGGCCGTGCGCACGTCATTGCCGGAGAGCGTGGCCGTGTGCCGTGTGGCGTTGCGCAGCGCCCTCGCCAGCCGCAGGGCCCCGGTGCCATCCACCTGCGTCTCGTTGCGGCTCAGCTTCTCATTCTGGAACAGAGAGGCAGTTGCGAGGTGTGCAAACACACTTGGTTGCTCTCGGTCCCTGCTGTGACTCAGAAACTCACTACCGTCTGGTGCAAGTTTCCTTGTCAGAAAGGAAATTCAAAAATCCAAAATCCTGGCCGGGCGTGGTGGCTCGTGCCTGAAATCCCAGCACTTGGGAGGCCGAGGTAGGTGGATCATTTGAGGTCAGGAGTTCAAGACCACCCTGGCCAACATGGTGAAATCCTGTCTCTACTAAAAATACAAAAAACTAGCCAGGCATGGTGGTGCGCACCTGTATGTCCCAACTACTCGGGAGGCTGAGACAGGAGAATTGCTTCCATCTGGGAAGCGGAGGTTGCAGTGAGTTGTGACTGCGCCACTGCCCTCTAGCCTGGGAGACAGAGTGAGATTCCGTATCAAAAATTAAAAAAATCCAAAACCCCAAAAATAAGCACTGCTGATAGTTAGGGCATGGAAACAGGGTCTGGTGGGCTCCAAAGGACTCGGAGGAAAACAGCAAGTGGGAGACCCAGGAACAACCCCCGTGAGACAGGGCAGGATCAGAGAGCATACGGGGTCAAACGCAGGGACCTTGCATTTTCAGAGCCAAAGATGCAGAGCCAGTGTCGGGGGAGAGAGGTACCCGTGGGGGTGCCCGGTTCAGGTGCCAATGCCCCCAAGTCACAGGAACCTGCTGGCTCGAGGCTGCTGGCCCACGGGGCCATCCCTGCGTCACCCCGGCTGTCCCAACACTCCCCAGCCCAGGAGCCTCGGCCCACACAAACTCTCATGCATACACGAGCACACGTGCTCCTGCTGAGCATGCATCCCCGAGGCGCCCCTACCATGGTCCTGAGGTCCACGAAGGAGATGGTGGTGCAGTTAAAGAGCTCTGGCGGCAGCCAGCCCTTCTCCACACTGCAGTGTCGAACTGCATTTCCTAGGGAAGGAGAGAAGGTATGCAAAGCCTGAAACTCAAATTGTTGGTCCATGCTGGTATATTTCAATCCCCAGTCCGAATGTACTTAAACCCAGAACACTGCATGGCGGTGAGAACCCCAGAGGGCCAGGAGGCATGGTGATGTCTGCAAAAGCCAGAAGCAGGGCCGGAGACTTCAGATGCTTGGGAGAGGCCCTACGTCACAGCATGTTTCCTCAGCAACATCCAGACTCCCACCCTCGGGGCACATGTGTCGGCCCCAGGGGTCTGCACCCCTCATGCCAGGGCCATGGCCGAAGCTGCTTTGACACTGACAACCAGGCATTTCAGGCACCCAGCAAACAGGAGCCAGCACTCCTGAGCAAGTGTGTGAGGGAAGAAACCAGAGGCCGGGTGTGGCGGCTCACACCTGTAACCCAGCACTTTGGGAGGCTAAGGTGGGTGGATCACAAGGTTAGGAGCTCGAGACCAGCCTGGCCAATATGGTGAAGCCCCGTCTCTACTAAAGATACAAAAACTAGTCAGGCGTGGTGGTGCGCGCCTGTAGTACCAGCCACTCAGAAGGCTGAGGCGGGAGAACTGCTGGAACCCAGGAGGCGGAGGTTGCAGTGGGCCAAGACTGCACCACTGCATTTCAGCCTGGGTGACAGAGTGAGACTTAGGCTCAAAAAAAAAATCAGCGACACCATCTGCCAGGCAGCCAGGATCCCACGTGCCAGGAATCCACGGCAGCTGGGCCTTTCCTCGTATTGCCTCACTGGACTCCCCAGGCGTCCCTGTCAGTATCCCCATTTCACAGAGGACACCTGATACTATGAATAACGAAGCCATTTGTCCCAGTGCCCCAGGCTGAGCAGGCAGAGCAGGGAACGGCCGGGTGTGACTGGCGGGCGTCCCCATACACGCTGTGCCGTTCATGTGTCTGTTACACCCTCTGCCTGCGTTGTGCATTTACTGGTAGAGAAAAGGCGGTCTAATTTCTCCCAGCGCTTGCCTGCGTGAGTCCCGACATCTCGACCGGCCCCCCCACAAGGACGCGTGCCTCGGTTCCCTACCCGTGGATGCCGCTGGCCACAGGGACTCACCGACAGACCCTTTGGGGCATGGTACTGCAGCCGGCTGCCCGAACTTGGTCTGTGGCCACCAAATGCCGGCCTCAAATGCTTTGGGACAGCCGTTGTAGATCACTGGGTTAGAGAGGAGAGAAGGCCGCTCAGCAGGACACAAACGGGCCCTGCTGTCTGCGTGCACCTCCCCCCTGCAGGAGGCCCTACTCCCACCAAGAACTGAACCCTAGCATCTCCCCCGCCCCCCATCCACGTCAGAGCTGGAGAGGGGGGTGACCGGGCTCTGACCCACGCCCCTCATGCAGAACCTGGTTTCTAGAAGGTCAAGAGGACGTAGAACAGGAAGGAGCCCAGGGTTCCCCAAACGCCCCGAGCGCACGCACACACGTGCACGTCGGCCCGGCAGCCTGTCCCTATGCTGTGACCTGCGGGGAGTCAAGGGGCAGCTCGGACCTTCGCAGCCGAGTGTGGTGACCTCGGCGAATGGGTTGTCACAACGGTTGCACTGGCGGCCGATGACACCGGGCTTGCAGGCGCACTGCCCAGTGGCCATGTCGCAAGCGCGGCTGTGGGAGCCGTGGGGGAAGCAGTCACAGGGCAGGCAGGCGTCCTGGGCCGGCGGCTGGTAGTAATTCTCCTGCAAAAGTCAGAGGCAGGGCTGGTGACTTCAGACGCCCGGGAGAGGCCCTACGTCACAGCACGTTTCCTCAGCAACATCCAGATTCCCACCCGCAGGGCACGTGTGTTGGCCCCAGCCATCCGCACCCCTCATGGCTACCCTCTGCCCACACCCCACACCCAACAGGGGCTGCCTCGCAGGGCCCTGCAAGGGAGGCTCTTCCCAGGACAGCGGTTCTCCCGGGAAGCACGACCTCCCTCCCTCATGTCTTAGCAAAGCCCAAGAGTGGGCACCTTCCTATCTGTCCTAAAAAGACTGAGATCCAAAGAGAGGCTTATGCGTGGGGATGGCCCTTGGGTGTTTTTTTAATGTTGTTCTGAAAAATCAGTGGCCAGGCATAGTGGCTCAAGCCTGTAATCCCAGCACTTTGGGAGGCCAAGGCAGGTGGATCAAGAGGTCAAGAGATTCAGAACAGCCTGGCCAACATGGTGAAACCCCGTCGCTACTAAAAATACAAAAATTAGCTGGGTGTGATGGTGCGTGCCTGTAATCCCAGCTACTCGGGAGGCTGCGGCAGGAGAACTGCTCGGACCCGGGAGTCGCAGTGAGCCGAGACCATGCCACCGCACTCCAGCCTGGCGACAGAGCGATATTCCATCTCAAAAAAGAGAAAGAAAGAAAAAAAATGAGAAGCCACCTGAACGAACATCTACCATTGAGCGGGCCAGTGTGACAATGAAGAGCTTGTGCTTTGGGTTCAGAAAGTCCTGGGTTCATGCCTGACCCTTGTTTATTGGCTACACTGCCTGGGCCACTCACTGGGCCTCCCCAGGCCCAAGTACCACCCCCTCCCCCGGAAAACGGTGCAGACTGTGTGATGTGGGCAGACTTGTGAGCAACGTTCAGACTCTGTCGGGTGGGACTCCAGCGAGGTGTAAAATGACAGTGAGCGGCAGCCCCGAAGAGATGCTAAAACATTCACAATCACAGCTGGGAGGTGAGATGGGGCGACTGCCATCTTTGTGTTCTTTCTTACATTTTGTATAACCTTATTTTTTGAGATGGGGTCTCACTCTGTTGCCCAGGCTGGAGTGTAGTAGTATAATCATGGCTCACTGCACCCTCCACCTCCAGGGCTCAAGTGATCCTCCCACCTCAGCCTCCCGAGTAGCAGGGATCACAGGCATGACCAGCACACCCAGCTAATGCTTTTGTTTTCTGCAGAGATGGGGGGGTCTATGTTGCCTAGGTTGGTCTTGAACTCCTGGGCTCAAGTGATCCTCCCCGCCTCGGCCTCCAGAGCAGCTGAGATTACAGGCATGAGCCACCACGCCCTGCCTGTTAACTTTGGATGAGAAAAAAATCATAGGCAAGTTTTCACCAATGCACTCCCCAACTGTGTCACCCACTGTGCCACCACCACCATCCGGTGACATACTAGACTGCCTCGACCCAGGACAGCTATTTCATTGAGTCTTTCGGGACATAAGTCTTACCTGCTATTCGAAGCAATGAGGGCACGCGGGGCACTACTGACATCATGGGACGGCATCCAAGGGTGCCCCGGTGCCAGCTTCCCTCCCAGAGCCGGCCGTGTCTGCAGGAAGCTCATGTCCCCCGCCCAGGCTCCTGTCACCCTCGGACCTAACATTTGGGTTTCAAGTGACTGTGAGCTCCACAGCTGTGGTGTACATGAAGGTCCTGCAGGAGGTGATGGGAGGGGTCCCTAGTGTCTGCGCTGAGAACATGTGTGCACATGTGGAGACCATGAGATGTGAGCTCCGTGCTGCACGCAGGTTAGGACTGACTGCCCTGGACGGGGGTGGGGCACCGCTTACCAACACACTTAGTCATGCCTTCTATTTCAAAACTGCTATTGTCATGGGATGCTAGCTTGGTGAAGACCAGGAAAATGGCCAGGCACGGTGGCTCACACCTGTAATCCCAGTTCACACGGTGGCTCACACCTGTAATCCCAGTTCACACGGTGGCCAGGCATGGTGGCTCACACTTTGGGAGGCTGAGGCGGGCAGAGAGTTTGAGAACGGCCTGGCCAACATGGTGACATCCTGTCTCTACTAAAAATACAAAAATCAGCTGGGCATGGTGGAGGGTGCCTGTAATCCCAGCTACTCGGGAGGCTGAGGCAGAAGAATCGCTGGAACCCTGGAGGCGGAGGCTGCAGTGAGCTGAGATTGTGCCACTGCACTCCAGCCTGGGTGGCAGAGTGAGACTCTGTGTCAAAAAAAAAAAATGCCAGGAAAACAGCCAACCAGGAGGCCAGGAGGGCTGGGGTGGGGCCAGAGACAAGCCAGCCCTCAGAAACGTCTGGGCTTCCCACAGCCATGGACGCTGGGCCGGGAGCAGGTAAGGATTGCTATTCCACGGGCGGAGGCTGGCAGGGTTGAACCTGGAGTTTACATGCAGAAAGCAGCCGTGGAGTATTCACAGGGCATGGGGGGCAGCAAGGAAACCAAAAACCACATCTGTACACAACTGTGGTGTGAGTGGGCACAGACAGGTGTGCGTGGAGATGTGTATGGGCAGGGCATGCGTAGGTGTGTGACTGCAGGTGTGTGAGTGTCTGCACGTGTGTGTCTGCAGGCATGTGAGTGTCTGCAGGCTTGTGTCTGCAGGTGTGTGTTCACAGACGTGTTTACAGGCACATTTGCAGGCGTGAGTGTCTGCAGGCGTGAGTGTCTGCAGGCATGTGAGTGTATGCAGGCATGTGTCTGCAGGCGTGTGAGTGTCTGCAGGCATGTGAGTGTATGCAGGCGTGTGAGTGTGTGCAGGTGAGTGTCTGCAGGTGTGCAAGTGTTTGCAGGTGTGTCTGCAGGCGTGTGTCTGCACACGTGTGTCTGCAGGCATGTGAGTGTCTGCAGGCTTGTGTCTGCAGGTGAGTGTTCACAGGCATGTGTTTACAGGCACGTTTGTAGGCGTGAGTGTCTGCAGGCGTGTGAGTGTCTGCAGGCATGTGAGTGTATGCAGGCGTGAGTGTCTGCAGGTGAGTGTTCACAGGTGTGTTTGCAGGCGTGTTTGTAGGCGTGTGAGTGTCCGCAGGCCTCTGTGCACGTGTGTGAGCACACACAGCCATCTCCCTGGCACGTAGGGACCATGGGGGCTGGGCCTCACCTTGCACTGGCACTGGCCATTGGTCTTATTACAGTCGGGATCGAAGCCTTTGCTGACAGCACAGTGGCAGGGTCCACAGACGGGGTTCCCCCACCAGCCTCTGGGGCACGGAAGGTCGAGTCTGTCACGAAAATGAGAGGGCAGATGGAAAGTTTACGTAACTGTGCTTTCTAGAACAAGAAGAGGCCCCCTGGTGGCATGGAGACGGTTGCCCAGGAAGCTTGGCGAAGCCCAGCTCTGGGAGCTTCCCTTCCACGTTACGTGGCCTCAGTTTTCCCTCTACTGACTCCCAACCTCACCCCCACCCACAGATTGACCATGCCCAAAGCAACTGTGACAGTGTGTGTTCACTGTGCCACGTCCACGCCATGCCTGGCTCAATGGGGCCTAATGACAATGGACCCGACTGCAAGGCTGGCCTTTCACGTCACTGCCCCACACAGGCAGACTGAGCTCAGCTGCCTGGCACAACTTCTCCAAGGCCACGTGGGGTGAGTGGCAGCATGAGACGCCCTGCGGGAGGTTCCTGAACAGGGAGTTCTGCAGCTTCTGTTGTCCCCAGGTCCCTCGGCCACTAGCCCTACGGACGCTCAGGGCAGCCATGCACTGGTGTAGCATGCCCCATAGGTCAGTGGCACATGTCCACGCACTCAGAATCCAGTGGAAGCCAGTCCTGCTTCCCTGAGCCTCCCCCAGCAGGGAACAGCAGACACTGAAGATGAGAGACACAGCGGGACAAGGCCAGGCCTCTGAGGCGCTGGCGGTGGCTGCGCACGAGTCGCCCTGCCTGTTCCTGTCGTGGGAGGCACCTGCGTAGTCACCTGCAGCCCCACCTGCCTGCGACGTCCCCACCCAAGTGTCCTGTGGGCTCTTGCATTCCCCATCCTGGCTAACAGAGGTCCCTCCACCCAGCTGCCAGCCTCTTGAGTTCACTCACTTGGCGAGCAATTATTAAGGACTGACTGTGAACAAATCAGGGTCATAAAGACACCCAGGCAGAGACGGAGGCTGGCGTTTACGGATGTGTGTGCGCGGTGTGGGGGCCCCAAAGCGTCTGTCTCCCTTCAGCTCTGGTGACTGTGGCATCAGGCATGGGGACGCTGGGTCAGCCTCCTGGTAACACCCCCTGCTCCGAGCTGTGTTCCATGTGGCAGCTGGGGTGGTCCCCAAAACCAGACCTGGTCCTGTCCCTTATGTGTTGGGTCCCACAGCCTCCATACAGCCGAGCTCTGTTCCTGGCTTGTGGGCCCACCCCCGTCCTCACCCAGGCCTCTCTGCCTCCCTGGAAGACCCCCGGGTTCTTTAGACCAGCCTCATCCCCTTGCTCCTCTCCAGCTCGGCTCGGTTGCTTTCGTTCCCAGAATGCCCTCCCGCTTCAGCTCCCTGGCTCCTGCCTCCCTCTCCACTCCCAGGGCACCTCCTCCAGGCCCTGTCTTGCATCACGTCTTGCTGACATCCCAGTGTGGTGCGGTGCCATCTTCTCGAGGGGTCACAAGCCCAAGGCCACAGGCTGCTTCCCACTTACGGGGCCGCAGCCGGATCACAGCATCTGCTCTAGGCTCAGGTAGACAAAGAACAGAGCGTGGCAGGTATCCGGGCACCTGACGCCCACCAGCAGCTGAGGCCTATGAGCGTGGGGGTGTCCCCTCCACGGGGTCCTGGAACCTTGGTTTATGAAGAACCAAGCAGCTCCACCTTGGACAAACTGATTCTTGTGATGAACACACACCTGTGCCCAGCCATCCCTGTGCAAAGGGCACTCCGGGAGCCCAGAGAGCACGCTGCTGCCAGTCCTAACACCACCAGGATCTCCACACACGTCAGACACGACTTCCACCCCACCGACTCGAGAAAGCGTTCTGTATAATGACACGCATTTCCCTGCATCTCAAGGGGGCTGTTTGCTCTGGGCACAGGACTCCAGATGAATGAGTCGTGTTACATGTTTCTGGGGTGGACACATGATCCAGTGGGATGGTTGACACCCGTAATCCCAGCACCTTGGGAGGCTGAGGCGGGTGGATCACTTGAGGTCAGGAGTTCGAGACCAGCCTGGCCAACATGGTGAAACCCATCTCTAATTAAAAATACAAAAAAATTAGCTGGGTGTGGTGGTGCACACCTGTAATCCCAGCTACTCGGGAGGCTGAGGCAGGAGAGTTGCTTGAACCCAGGAGGTGGAGGTGGCAGTGAGCTGAGATTGCCCCACTGCACTCCAGCCTGGGTGACAGAGCAAGACTCCGTCTCAAAAAAAATATGTCTCTGTTATCCAGAATTACACGTATCTCTGGGTCAAAATAAGAAAGAGAAGGCACTGACTCAAGAGCGAGGACGGTCAGGTGGAGACTGCAGGCGCGGAGGCCCAGGGGCTGCGCTTACTTGCTCTCACAGTACGGCCCGTAGTGGCTGGGCCCACACTCGCACGCGTAGCCCCGCGGGGAGCCGGGGGAGCGCACGCAGGCCGCCATGTTCTCGCAGGGGTTCAGGTGACAGGCGTCCACACAGTCTCTCCCGAGGTACCCTGCAAGGACAGAGCCAGCATTATCCCCACCCAGAATCCACGAGACCGTCTCACGTTAAAATATCTGGAGCACCCTGTCCCCCTGCACCGAGCACAGCGAGAGGACGGGCGATGCAGGGTCCCAGAAAACATAGACTAGGCGGGCGACGCAGAGGCGAAGGCATTTGGGGCCGCCCAGAGGAGGGTGAGAGCCTCGCGACATGGGTCAAGGCCACCCCAGGACACAAGAGGAACAGCCATCAGCAGAGGTTGACTTCAGTACCTAAAATTCAGAGGCCACCCTGAATGTAGTTTTTTTTTTTTTTTTTGAGATGGAGTCTCTCTCTGCCACCCAGACTGGAGTGCAGTGGTGTGATCTCGGCTCACTGCAACCTCCACCTCCCACGTTAAAACAATTCTCCTGCCTCAGCCTCCCGAGTAGCTGGGATCACAGGCTCACACCATGCCTGGCCAATTTTTTTTGTACTTTTAGTAGAGATGGGGTTTCTCCATATTAGCCAGGCTGGTCTCAAACTCCTGACATCAGACAATCCGCCCTCCTCAGCCCAAAGTGTTGGGATTACAGGCGCGAGCCACCGTGCCTGGCCAGGTTTTTTTTTTTTAATGTGTACTTTTCACTAGGCTTTTTTTGGAGACAGAGTCTTGCTCTGTTGCCCAGGCTGTGCAGTGGTGTGATCTCAGCCGACTACAACTTTGCTTTCCAGGCTCAAGTGATCTTCCCACCTCAGCCTCCCGTGTGGCTGGGACCACAGGTGCGTGCCACCACACCTGGCTAATTTTTGTATTTTTTTGGTAGAGACAGGGTTTCACCATGTCGCCTGGCTGGTCTCGAACTTCTGGCCTCAAGTGATCCGCCCGCCTCTGACTCCCAAAGTGCTGGGATTACAGGCGTGAGCCACCACGCCTGGCCTTACTTTTCACTATTCCTTTGCTGATCACCTCATGTGCTGAGGAGAGGGCCTAGACCACTCCCTGTGCCTTGAGTATGGAAGAGGCTGAGTTGCTCTCCAGGAGGGGCCCAGTTGTTACAAATACAGCTCAGCACTCCACGGAACCACAGGCAATCGGCTGGGGACACCAATGTCCAAACTGAGTCCCCGTCCTGTGTTTCAGCCATGAGAGGCGGCCCTGTCACTGAGGGCCTTGGGAGGGTGGTCCCACCTTTGTCACAGACGCAGCTGTAGTCCTCCCAGGCATTGTGGCAGCGGCTGTGGGGGGGACAGGGGCTCGAGGTACAAGGGTCCTCCACATCACAGCCGTCCTTCACCCTGACCTTGAGGGCGTTGTTCATGTTCAGGGTGGCCACATTGGTGGGCGTCCCCCCCATCCTCACTCCCTGCATCAAGGAAAGGGCATTGGGACGGGAGAAGCCCAGAAAGGTAAGGAGGGGCTAAGGGAACTCCGAGGTCTCTCTGGTCCCTTGCAAGGCATTCATTTGTGGCGCCTCATTTATCTACAGAGCTGGGACGGGCAGGGTCCTTCCTTTCACTCCCATGGCCTGGCAGCCGGAGTGCAGTGAAGAGCTGGGCAGGGAGCTCAGTGGGCACGCTGGCTGGATCTCCTGGGGTGCGCGGAGGGGGCGTGAGGAGTGGATGTCCCTGCCGAGGGGGCTGAGAGCTGAGTGACTCCCAGAGCAGCTCCCCCGCTGTAGCTGGAGCACCTGGCTCCAGGGAATAGGCATGGGGGCCACTTGGGTGCCGTGTGGGGTTGAACTGGGTGGGGGCAGTGGCGAGGGGCTCGATTCAGGACACTTAATGAAGGCAGAGGGGCAGGTGGCTAACATGGCATGGCGGTGAGGAGCTGTGGGGGCCAAGGACACCCCGATGCCAAGGGGAACCACAGGGGGATGGGTCTAAAGAGGAAACAGGAGCTCTTAAAGTGGGGGTGCCAATCAGACACATTCCCGCTCACTGAGAGCGAACAGGTTGACCGATGGCACCCGGTCAACTGCAGTGCTGGCAGCTTCTGAGCCGCCTGTGAGGGGCAGCCACCGCCCCCACCGCCCCCACGTACCTGCATGCAGCCTCGGAACCCACGGCGCACGGAGACCTTGTCTTCAGAGGCGCCCCCGACCACCATGCTCCTTATCGTCAGCCCGGGAAGCATGCCCCCGATATCTGCCCTGCTCTGTGTGGAGAGAGCGGGGGCAGAGCTCTGGGGGCTGCGTCCACCATCCTAGAAACGTCTTCCAACTGGGAAAACGCACGGGAAGCCTGAAACAGTGGCTTCAACAAACTCCCCAGAGCCTGAGGACATCCGGGCCTCTGAAGAGAGAGCTGGGCCCAGCTGGACAGCGTGGCTGGCTGTGACAACCAGGGCGAGCGGACGAGGCCAGAGGATGGCGTCCAGGTCCCAGTCCAGCTGAGGGCCGGCGGGGGAAAGTGCCTAACTCTCCTGCCTCCGTCAAGGGCACAACCCTAAACCAGCCACACTGTGACAGAGAACTTGGAGCATCACGAAGACTGCGGGGACGGAAATCCGTTTACCCATGAATACTGTGGGTACCCAAGAGTGCCTCGGCTGAGCTCCTGTTCCAGAAAGGCACCTGCCTGGAACACACCTATTTATTCCCAGGTCTGTGTTCTAAGGTGAGCCTTGGCTCCAAGAGCTCTCGGAAATCCCTGGGAGCCTCTTCAGTGTGTGAGCATCTCACAGACAACATCCTGGGTTACCCGCCTGCAAACTGTGGAAACCCAGTCTGGTTCCGTAAGTGTTCTGAACATTGCCTGGGACCATGCCACCTGCCTGCCTGGGACACGTGGGGCCCCCTGGTGTCTCCCAGCCGTGTCCGGGACCTGGGCCTCATTGCTCTCCCAGCTTCGCTCCTCATCCATACTCTGAGGGCACGAACCTGGCATTTCTCTTTTTTTTTTTTTTGAGATGGAATCTCGCTCGGTCACCCAGGCTGGAGTGCAGTGGTGCAATCTCGGCTCACTGCAACCTCTACCTTCCAGTTCAAGTGACTTTCCTGCCTCGGCCTCCAGAGTAGCTGGGACTGCAGGTATGTGCCAACGCACCCGGCTAATTTTTGAATTTTTAATAGAAATGGGGTTTCACCGGC